GGCGCGTGTTTTGTGGTTGTTGGTGGCAGCAGCAGCAGGCACAGGGATCTCTCCTGACTGGAAAGGTCCTGGTTTTCAGTGGTTACCCCAGTTTGGTGCTGCTATAAGTCTATATTTGGCTTTGCACAATGTACGGGTTCTAGAGAGTTCAAGACGTTGACAACAACAACAGCAAAAGGAAAGCTTTCGTCAGCGAAAATGGCGCAGTTCCTGAGAGGTGATGGGCACAGAGATGTGTCTGAAGGGACCGTTTGCTCACGTAGCCCAGAAAGGGGGAAATCCTCAACAGATGCCTACGAAGGATCTAAAAAATTAAATTCAGAGAATAGTGTCTGTTTCCAGTTGGAGAAGGTGAATCACATTTTTTGCTAACACTGGTACAGGTAACAGGTGGGGTCTGTGATAGCAAACACTTAAATTAACATTGATGATTTACTTCTCAAGTACTGCAAAGACAGAGTCAGATCCTTGACATTCTAGAGTAAAAGGAATAATTCAGGCTTAGTGAGGAAAGCACAGCATGGAAATCAGAAGCAGAAAAAGGTCAGCTTCCAAGTTAAGGTTATAAAGTAGCTTGAGCAATGTCTACAAGTGTCTGCATGGGAAAACCTGTTTTAATGCAGCCAGCCTCTTAACTGTGATCAAAAGTCCGTGCCATTTTTATTCTGGTTAGCAGGTGATACAGGGGCTGAGCAGTTTGTGTAAAATTATTCATGTTTTCCTGCTGCACCACTGCAAAAATTCCCATGTGAAGCCTGTTAGCCCCAAAGAAGAGGCCCAAACTGGTAGAATTTCTCTGGAAATGGAAGCTGCTTTGGACCTGTAATGAAAAAACGATTTGGGTGTATTCTTGGCTGGATTCACCTCTTATAAGTGGGGTTGGGAAACAGTTACGACAATCTAATCAGGGCAGGAAGAGTAATTTCTTTGTACATGAACTACAATAGTTGAAAATGATACCATCATTGAACCGTATGCTTTCGGATGAAATACCTTCATTAAATACTGGAGAATGAAGCAAAATCAAAATGGAAAATGGTTTTAAATGGCGTTTCTTATTCTCTTGCCCTCACAAGTGACTGGTGGCTGGCATTTCTTGAGAGTCACTTGGACCGTACTTGAAAAACTGGGTCGGATTACCCAGTCCCCTAATGACTGCCTCATCCCTGGCATGGACCTTAACCTCATTTTTTATCCATTATCCTGTGAATAAATAGAATAATTTATCTATGTCTAAAAGAAAGGAAAAGTCACAAGACATACCAGGAGCACAATAAAAGAGTTGGTGGTAACACACAGAAGAAAGGGAATAGAAAGGATTTAAAAGGAGAGCAGACAGAACAAAACAGAGAAATTCCCAGGATTGAGGAATAGGGAATGGTGTGGTGACTCGAAGGTTAGAAGAGTCAGCCACGGATTATAATGTGGAAAATTTGGGAGACATTCAGACGCACTACAATTACAAACTGTCCTAAGAGCCAGAAGCTGCTTGCCAAGATGGGACAAAAAGAGGAAACTTGCATATCCTTCAAAAACCTTGCTCCTGTGAGCAGAACATGAGCTCTAGCAATGACTATGAATCCTGCTCCAGGTTATGGGACATTGCCATTAAGCTATGCAAAAACATGCAGAAATAAGGTTAAATAGTTTAAGAACTAAGTGTAATCTATGGATGCTCAGCATGAGAGATGCACATGCGTTGCTAAGCATGAGCAAGAGCTTGTGGCTTCTGCAGCAATGAGCCAGTTTTCCAGCTTGCCGGGGGCCAGTGTTTCTTCTTAGCCAGAAACACCCATTCCCCTTGGGTTTGGGTCCCCTTACAGTGTCGGCGGGTAGCATAGGCAGAAGTTGAGAGCACAAAGCTTGTCCCAGGAGGTAAGCAGGGAGCACTTGCTCAGCTGTGTGCTCAGCTGCACAGTGCAGCCATGTGACTGTTTGTGACTTACTTAATCACCAGTTGAATCGTTTTAATCTCCGAGACATGAGCAGTTGCATTTCTGTATGTGATTTCTGTTAACTATAGCAGGATTATTTTAAGGGAGAAAAAAAATTGGTCTGGCTAAAGAATGGATTCCTAGACCAATACATGGCAAAACTCCTGAGATTTAGCACAAGTAGGAATGTTAGATTGTGAAACTACCTCAGACTATGTCAGAGTCTTAGCCCAAAGGACAAAGCTGCATTAAGAAATGTAATTTATTTAGGAACTTTTATACAATTCCTTTATCTTTATGTGGGAGGGGGAAATGACACAGTGACAATGCTTGTGTGACAGACATAAGCAGGTTGTGGAATTCAGACTTGCTTTCATGGAAAATAATAATAAAATTCTTGCTGAGTTCAGTGGAAGCTGAATTAAGGAAGAGGTTTAGGTCTGCCTCAGAAGATGCGCTAATGAGACCTCCCTGCAGTATTCATACACAGTTTCCAGCTCAAGTAGGTCTCATTTTCTGCTAGGTGGAATAAAACCAACTTCTTGAATTTGTTGTTACTTTGTGAATAGATCTTTTGCTACAGGCAATGCATTCACGATTAGGTCCATTGATTTGCTGCACTGCTTAGGTAGGGGTGAACCTTCTCCATGCTTTATAAATTTTAAGTGACTCAATTAAAGCATATAAACAAAACCAGCCATTTCTGCTCCCCCCCCCAAAAAAAAAGAACAAGCCAATGTTCAGGGTATCAGTGTTTCTTTTTTTTGCATCACATTGGGATTTTTCTTAAAATGCAGTTTTCTTACTGAAAAAAATGCCTCATAATTTGCAACAAATTATTAAATATATTAAAATATACATAGAGAGACAAATTCAATATATTTAATTTAGAACGCTTTGTTCTGGAAAGGTTAGCTTAGCTTTTTCTAAGTAGATGCACTCCATCAGCCAAACACTCAGCCTGGCATTTGGTATGGTTCTGCTACAAGCTTTCTCAGTCAAACATTCTTTTATTTCTGGTTTTCATTTTACATTAACAACAGCAAAAAAGCCTGAAGAATTCTAATTCCTTTCTATGGCTAATGATTTCAAGATTATTTTCTGTGCCACTTACTATCCTTTCCCAGTGTATATTGCCACAGTTTAGTGATTGGCTTAGTAATCTAATTAATTCATTTGCAGTGCAGATTACAATTGATCTGGTGTATATCTGCAGATTAAATAGTTCCATAAAAAACAACCAAACAAACAAACAAAACAAAACCGAAAAACACTTTAAAAAAGTTCTGTGATTTTTACCAAGACAGTTTTATGTTCAGGTTAATACATAGTGGATAAGCAAAAAAAGTTATTGGGCCTATCACCAAGAAGAGGAGGAAGAGCCCATAACAACAGAATCACTAGATAAATATGAAGCCATTTTATACTTGTAATGAAACTAATTAATCTTTTCAGTGACACAGTGGCATACTTTCTGCTCATGAGTTGACAGGAAGTCTGAAACAAAATAAATTCTTCTTTGCTTGTTTGCTACCTGGACGAAGATCAATAATACTTCAGGGCAAACACAGTCTATAGCCAATCTCTTAATCTGACTCAAATTGAAAGGAAAAATCTGCCTAATTGCAAAAATGTACAAACCAGCCAGCGTGTTAAACAAAATTTGTGAGGCACTGTATATACATTAAAACAATTATGCTGTAGGTATATGTGTACAGTCAGGTTACCCTTAAAGCTTCCTTAACACAATCCATTAATTTAACTTTGAGTTAACTCAGTGCATGCAGTAATCACTACAGGGTTTTGTGCATTGGATAAAGATGACTGGAAATACTGAGGCTTTACATGCAGATGCCCCAACTTTTGATTCCTTAGACATTAACACCATTCAGTAATTTACTGCTATTCATCCATCCTCAGCCAATGGACACCAGTACGTGTATACCTGCCTCCCAGAAGTGGTTTTCATAACTCAGTATCTTCCATCAACCATTAATTCAGAGCCAGAGGCATGCTCATCTGATTGAGTGCACGAGGAATCTTTTCTGGGTATTTGTGAGCATTGTTAGTAAAACAATACAGTTGCTTTAGACTGTCATTGCTTCATGTATTTATTAAAAGTAAACAAAATAACCCCCAACAGAGAGAACTTGCCCTTGATGAGACTAATGATGGAAAATTTCAAATAAGAAGGAAAATTTTGCTGAAACTTATGAGAAAACATAAACTAAGGAGATGGAAGGCTGTTCTGCAACCTCCACATTTCTGCTTGTTGCCATGTGAACAATCTCTTGATATTTCTAAATACATTATAGAAAAATGGAATTGATACAAGTTTTGGTTTTTATTTTTTTTTAACTATGAAAATTTTTGCAGACAAATTAAAAAGCTTGAAAGAAATTACTATTTACATCTTAAAAATTAACATAAAATTTGATCCATTCAGTATACTTTGTAGACAGGTGCATGTTTAAGGATTTTATTTAACAGTCTGAATGTGTGGCTTTACAACTGTTCTTACTTCTGTAAGTACCATGGGACACTGCAGGCAAAGTTGAATTTCAGGAAGGTGGATACAAAAGTGAGTATGTGTGTTATCAGTGGAGCCATTTACAGCACAGAGACTACTAGCAGATGTAACAGAGTGTGAAAGATATTGAACAGCAGATGTATAAAAATTATTATTCAGAGTGGTTTCAATTTTCATAGTCCCCGGATTCGTATTCTTCATCATCTTCCTCATCAGATTTGTCATAATACTCCTCATATTCAATGCTGTAGCTTGCACTTTTACTGCCAGCATTAAGTGCAAATGCAGGAGATGGGCCTGCAAGACATAATTAAATCAGATTAAATTAGTTGTAGATAGGAATAAAGAGGAAAGATGGGTTTGGATCTGTATGGCAAGCTCAGCAAAAGAAGAGGGTTTTTACCTGATGGCTTGCTCATAGGAGCAAATTTCTAGATCACTCACATTTTAAGATGTTGAAAATATATTTAATTCCCAATACTAGTAGACTGAGAGTTCAGTCCTCTGCAGATCATATGTACCTGAACATAAAACCAGAGCCAATAAATTTGAAAGCCAGTTGCACAAACAAGGTCAGTGACAAACTAGAACAGTGACAAACTCCTTTAGCTCACAAGGCAAATATAAGCCAATGCATCTTTATTCCATATTTGTCAGGAAACCCAGTTCTCTCCAGAGGAAGAAGGGTGTTATTCTGCAGGACTAGGCCCGATGCAGAACAATAGTAAAGCTATTCCTTACCTTTCCAAACACTCTCATTAAAGAGCAACAACTGTTTCCTTCCTAGTTTGTTGAAAAATAAAGAGCTAAGCAGACCTGCCATGGTTCAGAGACTCTCCCAGCTACAGCAGCTGTTCTTCTGGGTGAGAGTTCCTACTAACATCACAGGACTTCTGTAGGATAAAGGTGAGTGGAGTGGGATGTGTCTCAGTTGTATGGCTACAATCCACAGCTTGCTGTTTTCTGGAAGCTGGTGTAATATGCAGCAGAATATTACACTATTAACCCATTAGGTGATAAAGTAGAAGAAAAAGACAGAAAAAGTAAAATCTTTAGGTAATTTCTCATATCCTTCATTTGCATTCTGACAAACCCATCCTTTGCAGCCTGCTTGTATGCATTCTTGTATACTTTACATCCAAAACCCAAAAATAATTACCATCAATGACTTTCAATCTTGCAGAGGCGTATGTTGCACCATACTTATTTTTGGTGTGGCATATGTAAACACCTTCATCTGATTTTTTGAGGCCTTGAATCTGCAGCCAACCTGTCACACCATACTTCTGAGGCCCACCTCTTGCCTTTAAGAAGAGAAAGAAAGTTGAGATTAAGTAGCTAGGAGGCAGCATGATATTTCTCAAAGGAATTATGGATGGATTAACCATCATTCCAAACCTTAGCTGCTGTCATGCTTTCATCCTGTTTGGTTCTGCTGCGCTATGTTTTAACTTACTGCTCTGTGTCTCTGAGTTCACTCTTCCCCATCTCTGCTCTTTAAACTTCATTGCCCTTCACAGTGCTCTCATTTCTGTTTCTTCCCATGCTATGGACTCCCAGTGTTCCTCCTGTGTCTTGTCCCAGCACCACTTGTTACTTCAGAGCATTGCTGCCTGTTCTCAAGGTCATAAATCTCTTCAGGATGAGAGTGGCAGGTGGATCTGGGTGAGTTGTTCAGGGCCAAGGGGCCTGACCAAGCTGACACTGAGCATCGGGGTTTTAATGGATTGTATGACACACCGTGAGCTTCCACAATTCATGATGCTCTCAAATGACTCGGGCTAAAGCCTCTTAAAGGGGGGGAGCTTTATTTTCCAAACAAATAACACAAAACCATTAGCACATGTTAACAGAGATGCTTTTGTGGTGAATCTGTTAATGAACTAGGTTAACTGGGTTCAGTTTAGCCTCTGAGCTGACCAGCATTTGCATGTGGCTCCTTGCACCATTCCTTCTGAGCAACTTTAAGCCTGCTAATCCCACTTGTGTTCATGCTGCATCTGGAAGTATTTCTAGGTAATTTAGACTCTTAGTACTTTCGGTAATTTAATTAGCTTTTTCTGTGCTTTTGCTAGCTACCTTTTTGTTCAGGTTGCGCCCCATGTCCATTGGATCTTACCACTTTTGGGCTGTGTAAGCAGAAAGCTAGATTTGCCATGTATTTCTCTATACAGTCTCTGTTCATCTTCTTTGTCTGCTGGAGAAGCATGCAGGTGCAGGCTTCAGCCTTACTGCAGTCTGCCTGTACATCTGTTGTTGTTAGCTTGTCCCCCCAGAATGTTACTTCCATTTAAAAGAATTAGCTTTTTGATTTATTTAATTTCAGCTCAGACTTTCAGGCTATTTCTAGATTTGCTTGAAGCCTGTACTAATGTCATTCTACTCTTTACCCT